GATTTAGTGAAACGGATCTGACTGTTTACTATTTTTAGCTTAGCAGTTATATAAATGACTAAAAGTGCTTATATTATATTTAAGCCAGAACTTGCTTTACGATCTGGTGTCAAAAGTCAGGAATGTGACAATGGTGTCTGTATGAAGATGTGGTTTAAGGAGAAACAAGGTAAAAGATGCTTACTTTTTTGTCAGTACTTCTGTATCAGCAGACCGCGTCACTGGAGTTTATACTCGAGTGAGAAAGAAATTTATTTTTTTATCTTTGTGGATTATTAACTTTTGAACAGTCAGCCGCTAAAGTTTTTTTCTTCTTTTTATTCTTCGTCAATTGTCCGTGAAAAATTTTTAAAGGGAAAAGTCAAGTATGGCGAAGTTGTATACCGAATGGTAAAGAACAAATAAGATCCGATTGCACTCGCATATCTAGCAGTCAAGGTTAGTTTGAACAACGGTCCTTCGTCTGTTTTTAAAAATGTTAAAAAGTTAACGTTACTTATGGAAAGATGAAAGTAAAGCAAAGCACTTATTATAGGCGTATAGGTTACGGAAACGAGAAATTGCTTTTATTTCTATACATTAACTCCAAAAATATACGTCACATATTTTATTTCAAATGGCTTACTTTTTTGGTTGACGTCTTAAGTTTTTATCCGGACTGCCAAGTTGTAGGACTAGGTATCCGATTGCGAAGTCAAAAGAGAACGACTCAAAAAGTTTTGCAGTGGTGGCAAAGTCAAACTGTTTCAAAATGTAAAAAAAACATAAGTTTTGCTACCCGTAGCGGTCTTTAGAATCTTGTAATTTTGCTTATTCTCGGCAGATTATTAAAGCCTTTGCTTTGATTTAAAGTTTTTTCTCTAGTACACTCAGTGAAAAAAAAAGGGTATATATGTATATTAAGCTGCAATAAGCTTTAGAGTAAACACTAAAGCCCAATTAGCTAATTCTAAAAACAAGTTCTTCCGAGTTTTTAACAGACATATTTTTTGAAAGTATAATTTTGTTACAAAATACCAAAATTACGAGGTGGTATCTTTGTTTTCGCTGGTGACAACGCAATTAATGAGAGTAAACTGGAGGAAATTTTAATTTGAGGCATTATTTTGGAGTCTGTGTACGTGGACATTGCTCCAGTTTTGTCCCCGAGTGCGACTAGTCAAATTGTCAGTAACTGGTTTAAAGGTTTTTATTACTGAGTGTAGTTTAAAAAGAGTTTTCTCAAAAAAGTTTTAATATTAGTTACTATTTGGAATTATTATATCATTTTGCTTTTCCACTAAAGTTTTTGAACCGGAATATTTGGCACTTGGTGCCGATTGTTGACACCACACATTGATTTGTCTTAACCTTCTCAACAGTGCATTAATGTACGCCTTGCTGGGAACTTGTGGTGCAAGGAACCATCCAGAGATACCGCCAAAAAAATATGCAAGCTACAGTGCACTCAGCTGTCACATATTCAAAGAAGAACTCTGGAACCCTGTTTCTTTCCTAAATCCTGGTTGCAGCGTCAACCTGCTTCAGCCGTACACTTATTGCAATACCGCCTGTTAGACTTTTTAAGAGAGAAATGCGACTCAAAGAAAGTTATCTCCTTTCTTGACGAGAAAGTATTCCGATACAGAACTTTAAAGAACTTCTAAAATTTTATTTTTATTCCGCAGATTTTAGAATCCCAGCAGAATGTTATTTTTCTGTAACGTCACTAGAATGAAGTTTCTTAGATGGCATAGCAGTCACACTAAAAGGCTTAGTATTTGAGACCCAGCTCACAGAAGGGAACTGAAGATCAAATTTCAACTGCCAACGACATTCATGGCTGGTCATTAACCACCTCAAAGAATTACAGCTACCTTTCGTATTTTCGAAAAACATTAGAAAGAAAAAGCTCTGTTATTATCGCATTTCGCGCAGGCCAATACTGCAGGCACCCAAAGATTCTACTATTTGATACCATGTGCTTCCGCGAAGGCAATGCCAAAACAATATTCGTTATGGAACAAACAGGACTGAATGACAAATTTTTGGGCCAGAAAAGTTCAGTGAAGAACCAGAACGATATAAACTCGAAAAGTGACCAATATAACAGTTCTTCTCCAAAAGTTTTATTTGGTCCGAAGAATTTTTAATCAAACACCTGCTACTGAAATGGCAAAAGTGAAGCAAAAAGTGGGAGAGGTGCCACTTGCAGAAGTGCAAAAATTATCCCTTAAATGGAGATTTTTTATAGCATAGCCTCTAGCCTCCCTGTTCGCATTGTAACTCGTGTTACCATAACGTTACCACTCT